TCAACATAGACGACCCTAGCGACCAAACAGACATCCACCGCCTCACCCACGCCAAACAACCACAGGCAGGAGTCAGGCAAGAAACCAACAGCACACCCAAACACATCATCCTGTGCCTATCCTGTGGCGGACCTCACTCGAGAGCTACATGCAAGTTCAAGGGTGCCATCTGTAACCATTGCCACAAAAAAGGCCACATCGCCAGAGTCTGCCAGGCCACGCACAACTCAGCACAAAAGGTTCCTTCCTTTTCCCATTCTGGGCCTCAAAGGCAAGTACTAAATTGTCACACTTGCTACCATGCTAACCACACCTGTCACTCTATTAGTAAAATAACACTTTCCATTTTATTAGAAGGTAAACCTTGTCGTATGGAGGTTGACACGGGGTCAGCGCTCTCAATCATCTCTTGGAGCACTCTCAAGAAAATCCAGCCCAGGCTATCCAGAAACCAGCTCCAGAAGTGCCAGATCTCCTTGAGGGATTATCAGGGAAAAGACATTCCAGTGCTCGGCAAAGGCAAGTTCCTTGTTAATTTTAAAGCTTTTAAAGGCCACCTGCCTCTAGTGGTAGTTAACGGCAACCTCCCCAGTCTCCTGGGGCTTGATTGGTTCCTCCACCTCGGCCTAGGGTTAACAGGAGTCCATGCTGTCTCAGCTTCTGACACTGACTCCTTATTTACTGACTACTCAGACGTATTCAGCAATGAGTTGGGGTGTTATAACGGTACCCCCATCTCATTTGCAGTTGACCCCCAAGCGGTTCCAGTCCGGCTGAAACCGCGTAGAGTCCCATTCGCCATTCGGCCTAAACTGGATGCAGAACTCGATAAATTATTAAAGCAAGGGATCATTGAGCCGACAGACTTCGCCAAATGGGAGACGCCAATTGTCACACCCCTTAAAAAGGATGGCAGCCTGAGAATTTGTTCAGATTACAAAACAACAATCAACTGCTTTCTACAAGTTAGCGCGTACCCAGTCCCGGTCATTCAACATTTATTGCATACTTTTGAGCCTGGCAACATTTTTGCCAAATTGGACATGTCACAAGCGTATCAGCAGTTCCCTGTTGACAACCAAACAGCTGAACTGCAGACCATTGTGACCCACAGGGGTGCCTTCCGGTGCAAGCGTCTCCAGTTTGGCGTAAGTGTTGCCCCGGGCATCTTCCAATCCCTCATGGAGCGTATACTACAGGGCCTCCCTGGCATAGTACCCTACTTCGACGACATATTGGTCTCGGCCAGGGACAGACCCCAACTTTTCCAGAGAGTCAGAGCAGTGTTAGACAGGTTCAGACAGCATGGCCTCAAATTAAAAAAGGAAAAATGTGCCATTGCCACTAGACAGGTGGACTTTCTGGGCTATAGAATTGACGCCTCAGGCATCCACCCCCTAGAGTCCAAGGTCAAGGCAATTCATGAGGCACCCACGCCAACCACTAAAGCCGAGCTACAAGCCTTTTTGGGATTATTGAACTTTATGCATCATTTCTACCTCACAAAGCATCGGTAGCAGAGCCTCTACACAGGCTCTTAGATAAAAAAGCACCTTGGCACTGGGGACACAAGGAAGACACCGCTTTTCGCGCAGTCAAGTCACTGCTCACATCTGACGCAGTCCTTATTCAATTTGACCCACACCTTCCACTGTTACTAGCCGCGGATGCATCCCCCTTTGGGATTGGCGCCGTATTAAGCCATAGACTACCCAACGGCTCTGAGGCACCGATCGCCTTCTTTTCCAGAACGCCCTCAGCAACAGAGCGTAACTATAGTCAGATAGACAAGGAGGCTTTAGCCGCAGTGGCCACGGTTAAGAAATTTCATGAATTCCTATTTGGCCACAACTTTGAGCTAATCACGGACCACAAACCTCTCCTGGGTCTTCTTTCCGGAGACAAGCAGACTCCCCAAGTGTTGTCTCCCAGAATGATGAGGTGGACTTTATTCCTGGCGGCTTACTCGTACAAGCTCATCCACCGCCCAGGAAAAACGTTAAGCCACGCAGACGCCCTCAGCCGCTGCCCCCTGCCAGCTCCAGCAGAAGACCCGGCCCCGGTCCACGCCATCTTCGATGTCACCGAGCTCGACCTTCCTGTCACCGCTCTCGACATCGCCACCAAATCCAAGACGGACAAAACCATCGCCCAGGTACTGGACTGGGTGAGGAGGGGGTGGCCGGACTCTAACCTCACAGCCGAATTCACACCTTTTAAGACCCGTCAACAGGAGCTGTCTAGCATACAGGGCTGCCTGTTGTGGGGCACCCGGGTTGTTATTCCGGCCTCACTTCGCACACCAGTCTTAGAGGCACTACACGAGGGCCACCCGGGCATCGTCTGGATGAAGGCGTTGGCACGGAGCTACGTCTGGTGGCCTGGCTTGGACGACGACATCGTCAAGTGGGTAAGCTCATGCCAACCCTGCCAGGAATCCAGACCTTCCCCTCCAGTCACCACCCCCACAAAGTGGGAAAGCGCCAACGCGCCTTGGTCAAGGCTACACATTGACTTAGTGGGTCCAATACACGGCAAAACCTTTTTGGTAGTCGTAGATTCATACTCAAAATGGATCGACGTGGCCCAACTATCCACGACCACCACGCTAGCAGTTACCAAGGCTCTAACTCACCTATTCGTAACACACGGGCTACCAGATACTATTGTTTCGGATAACGGCCCCCAGTTCGCCTCAACAGAATTTAGCCGTTTCGCCACAAATCTTGGCATCCGACATATCTTCACGGCCCCCTTTCATCCTGCCAGCAACGGAATGGCAGAGCGAGCCGTTAGGTCCACAAAAGAAGCGTTGGCCAGATTCAGCAAAGAAGATTGGCATCATAGACTCTCCCGTTTCTTGCTTAGTCAACACTCGACCCCTTGCATGGTCACCAACAAATCCCCTGCTGAACTTCTAATGGGTAGACGCCTAAGAACTGTGTTGGATAGGCTCCACCCACACTATTGCCCTGACACCCCTCTCGCTTCAATGACGGGGGTCAGAGATTTTGTCTTGCAGGAACATGTATTTGCGAGGAACTATGCGGGAGACCCACTGTGGATTCCAGGAGTGATAGTAGCCATCACCGGCCCCCGGTCGTATCGAGTCCAGCTGGAAGACGGCCGCATCTGGAGAAGACACCTGGACCAGCTAAGGAAGTGACAGGGTACCTTCGCCAGCGTCGGATCGTGGGCTCAGGTCGACCCTCAGGTGCTACACCAAGCTCCCGTCGTAGACCATGCCAGAGCCTCTACACCATCGCCACCTGGACCAGAGGAGTTGGCAGTAGACCGGGACTGCCTAATGGGTCCGCCACCGGCACCAGTAGACGGGGCCACGACATCGCCAACCAGAAGCACTACACCGGTGCCTGTGCAACCCTCAGAGCGAGGCTGCACCCCATCACCAACCCCACCGGGTTCCTTGAACTCTGAGACACTGGGTAACTCACCGGAGTTACGACGCTCGGGACGCCAGCACAGACCGCCCGCTTATTTAAATGACTATGCGTGTTCACATCTGGGGGGAAGGGGTGTTATGTCCCTGGAACTTGCCAAAGTCCCCACCCAGGTCCGTTCATGCTGCGGGGGCGTTTGCTGCCCCTCATTGGCTGGCCTCCCTCGACAGCCGGCTATAAAAGCCAGCTGCAGGGTCCGGCCAGTCGCTGATCGCTGGGAGCCTGCTCTAGGCAGAGCTAATACGTTCAGTCCTTTATTGCTACAATAAAGTCTTGTTGCATCCATGCCCTGGTCTAGCCTCTCATTGCTCAACTACAACATTTTCACTGGCAGAGGGTTTCAGGAAGCCATCGCAGCCAAAATCAGAGCTTGGGAGCCTGTTTTTGCTGATACAGTCTTACCATCGCAGTGTAAAGTGGTACTATCTCCTTGTCTTGACTCTATCCCTCTGTCGATGCAGCCTAGGACTGCATTGGCTTTTTGGCAGATTGTTGCTCACTGCTGGCTTACTAGGTGATCCACTAGGATACTCGGTGGTGCAGTGGTTAAGAGTACAGTACTCCAGGCTACTTCTGCTAACTACTGGCTGCATGCAACTTGGCAGTTCAAATCCCACCAGGCTCAAGGTTGACTCAGCCTTCGATCCTTCTGAGGTGAGCAAAATGAGGACAGATTGTTGGGGGCAACATGCTGACTTTGTAAAACCGCTTAGAGAGGGCTGTACTATAAAGTGGTAGATAAGTCTAAGTACTATTGCTATATTTAGATCCCTCTAACAAGACTGTTGAGCTAGGTACTGCCTATTCTATACATAAGCATTTGTTTTTCCTGTTTAAATGCAGGACCTTACTTTTCTCACCACTGAACTGCATTTTGTTGGATTGGGCCCAATGTGCATGTTTCTCAAGATCCTTCTGAATCTTGAGTTTTATCTTCCAAGGTGTTGGCAATTCCCTCCAGCTTCATGTCATCTGCATTTGATGAGTTCTCCTTCTATCTCCTCATATAGACTATTTATGAAGATGTTGAACAGTACTGGGCCCAAGACTCATCTTTGAGGTACCCTTCTGCATGTTTCCCTGCATAGATGTAGCTCTATTGAGGATTATCCACTGAGTTCAGGTCAGCCAATTGTGAATCAGTCTGATGGTGTACTGTCTACCCCTGTTCTATCTTTACAAGAAGTAGGTTGTGTTCAGATGCCTTGCTGAAGTCCAAGTACACTACATCCACAGTGTTTTGCTGATCCATTAATTTTGTCAAAAAAGGTAATGAGATTTGTCTGATATGATGTGTTTTTAACAACCCATGCTGGCTTCTAGTAATCATCTTGTTTGTTTCTAGGCGCTATCCAATCTTCCACCTGATTATTCTTAGAAAGTATTCAGACCCCCTTCACTTTTGTCAATTTTGTTATGCTGCAACCTGTACAACACTGACTATTCATTGGTTTTCAGAAATCAGAAGAGATGTGTTTGGCTGTTAAGATTCTCCAAGACGTGTGAAACTGTGAAAAAGCATGTTCTTCAAGTCACACCATGTGTGTGTGTGTGTGTGTGTGTGTGCATTTTTTCACCAGAAAAACAATTGCAACATAAAGAAAACATTGGATGAAGAGCTGAGATTTAATGTGACGTTTGTCTTAAAAATGAACATATTGCTAAAAATATGATGTAACATATATACAGTAATACAAATAGATAGCTATTTCTAAAGAGCTCAAATACACTGGGCTTTTTCATTTGTTTTTAGTGGCATTCAGAATACGCCCTGGCTTAGTTGTAAAGTTCAATTAACTAAAGGTTTTGAAATGGCTTGTGGCAACATGGCAGTATTTGAAAAATTGCTAACTCATTAGGAATCATATTTTTGAACCTACGCTATATGTGAAATCTTAATATGATTGTTGTAACTTTCCAATTTAGACCGCAACATGTTTTGTAGTATAAAATTATAAATTTATTTTGACTGAATCTCAAATTTTATTAAATGCTTTTAGCAAAGTGTAAAAAAATGTCAACATTAATACGACACAAAAGAATAAGTGCAACTTTAAACAAAATGAACTCAGAAAAATTAAAACAATTGTTTCTACTTATATTAGCTTAATTCACTATAGATAATTGTGACCAAAAGGGATTAACAATGTTAATCATTAGACTCATCTCCCTTGAGGGCTAGGGTGGTTAAAACAATATTCAGTTCCTCTAAAGCAAATCTTGACAAGCTTCAAGAGATTTACAATGTGATTTATATTCATATCTTTCTGCTTACTTCATCAATACATATTTCCAAAAAAGCTGTGAAAGCTGTGAAACCCCTCACATCCTGGACATAAACTGTTTTAACTCCTACCCTCAAAAATGACCCTACAGAGCATTGCACACCAGAACAACTAGACACAAGTAGAGTTTTTTCCTAACACCATCACTCTGCTAAACAAATAATTCCCACAACAACTGTCAAACTATTTACTAAGTCTGCATTACTATCACTATTAATCTTCTTGTCACTCCTATCACACATCCCCTCCCACTTGTGACTGTATGACTGTAATTTTGTTGCTTGTATCCTTACAATTTATATTGACTGCTTCCTAGTATGATTTGATTGCCTATTTGTACCCTATATTAAGTGTTGTACCTTATGATTCTTGACGAATGTATCTTTTCTTTTTATGTACACTGAGAGCAGATGCACCAAGACAAATTCCTTGTGTGTCTAATCACACTTGGCCAATAAAGAATTCATTCATTCATTCATTACTACCTTACTAAAAAAAATCACCACTGATAAAATCCTGTGTCTCCAAAAGCTGAATGTTAGAGAGCTGAAACTATGTATTCTATTCCTGTTAGCAGGATTGTATTTTAATTAATGCATATTCTAAAACACAATTTCCTGGCAGAGTCCAGGAAAAAAGACCAATGGCCCTGCCCCAAATATCCTGGTACCCCATTAATTACATCATAGATGATGTGAGCCATGGCGCAGGTCCTTATCCAGTCATGCAGTCCTTGGTGATCTCTGAGCTTGGTTGTTTGTTTGCTTTGTTTTATGGTTTTATAGTTGTTTTATTAGCAGACTACGTAACCTCTTCAGTGCCTGTCCAATCATTTCTAATCCAAACCAATGTCCAATCTAATTCAAATCCTTGTCCAATTACTTGGAGAAACTAAGATCTGTGCCAGCTAGATAAATTACTAAACTATTAATAACCCCTAAGGAATTTAACTAATACTTCATTTGAGAGAATATGAAATCAGAATATTAAGACATAAAATGAAATTACCTTTCAAACTCCCTAAAGCATCATAGATCAGTTTTATACATGTGCAAATATGTATTTTCACAGACATACAGTGCAACATTCTACAAAGGAAATACACATAACCACAACTAATAAAGACTAGTTCAGTTCATCACAGTGATCTGACAAATCTCCAACTTCAACTTGAAGAGGTAGCTTCTGAATTTCATCCTTGGATAAAAAAGTTCCTTCCCATTTCTTCTTTAGAAATCCTTCTCTCACCCCAAGTCTGTGAGTTCAGAGAAGTTCCGAGGTGGCAGAGAGGCATCATCTGGGTTTGAAATCAATTTAAGTGGCATCCTCCCATCGAACATTTAATTGGTCCCTGAAGGTATGTCTAATAATGCGCTCATAGCTTTCTTTTCTCAAGCTCAACCAAGAGCAAGGTCATTAGTAGCAGGCAGAGTCCTTCAGGAACCCTTGGCCAGTGTGACAAACTTTAAAATACAGCTAGAAATTCCTGAGTTGTCAGACATCTGTGCATAGAAAATGCATTTTCGTTATGGAATGAGAATCAAGCCAACTCATCCTTAAGGCCAGAGCCAAGTTCATGCAGTAGTAGATCAAGCAGAAATCAGGCTGACAATGCCTGAAAACTGTCTGCATCACTTTTTAATGCTACATAGTTCAGGTCAATATACGAGGGCAACTGAAAGGCGAATATGACCAGCTAGAACCTTCTCTCATTGTTCCTGCTGCAAAGGAATTGGAGTAATTTTCCACTCAGCTGCTGGAAAGGCACAAGTTATTAATTTGCTTTAAGTGATGAAATATTGGCTTTTTCCTTCTGGAGTAAAGTTTGAAGTGGTAAGAAAGCTAGAGATAAATTAAAGCAGCACCTGCTTTGCTTCACTTTATATTTGGAAAGATGATCTTTTCAAGTTGGATCTGTAGGAAAGGCTGACTCTGAACCATCACTTTGGAAGTAGACTGCGAAAAGCCCTCTGAAACATTTCACTCAAATTAATTGCAGTTATTTTTGGCTGAGTAAAAATGTTTAGTATTACTTTGTATACTACTTTAAGCAAATCTTGATGTCTTCTTAGGGAAACACAATACTTTTGGGAAGTTCACCTACTAAGTTAGACTTAAAGTTAGGATTTTAGTTAATTAGGGTTTTATTTTTAGATTTGCTCTAAGCAAAATTCTAGTCCTGTATAGTAGCAGGTCAAGAGTAGTAACAGGCTTGATTCCAAGCCAGCAAGAATAAACAGAGGAGGCTGTATATTAATACAATTAAGTTTGTAAACCTTTTCATTATTCCTCTCCCCAAGGGAAACATTAGCAGAATTCAATTCAGCCAAGAAAAGGAATACTATCCTATTGACTACAAAAATTGTACCTGGGATAAAATTCCATGTCACCTATTTAACTTAAAGTGCACTGGAGTCCTATATAAAAAATAACAGCAACTTTTTTCAATCTTTTGGTGGAACAATGGGAAAGCAATAAACTAATGCTCAACCTCTTTAAAAAGTTGCTGGAATAGCAACAGCAATAGCACTTAGACTTATATACCACTTTATAGTGCTTTACAGCCCCCTCTAAGCAGTTTACAGAGTCGGCATATTGCCCCCAACAATTTGGGTCCTCAATTTACCCATCTCGAAAAGATGGAAGGCTGAGTCAACCCTGAGCCTGGTGGTATTCGATCTGCCAAATTGCAGTAGTAGCAGCTTGCAGTACTGCACAGTACCAGCTTACAGTACTGCGCCACTGAACGCTAGAAGTTAGCTGGTTTATCTTTTTTCTTGTTTTAATCTAAATTTTTGGCAGAGTTGGTCGTTTAGAGAACAAGGAAAAAGATGAACTTAGGAAGATTGAAGTCATCCTGAATCCTGATATTACTGCCCCCAGATCCCACCAGCTACTGGAAGAATTTGTGAAGCAGCACAAAGCACCAGTAAATGTGACCAGTTATTCAAGAGGCATATCAGACGTGATAGATCTCTTCTTCCAAAGCATGATTTACTTCCCCACGAAGGTGGCTGAAGGTATTGTTCCGCAGGATTTGCCAACCACGGTGGAAGCTACTTTGAGTAGTACTTCGTGAGACCGATGGAGATGTTTCTTTCTTGATTCGGAAAGGTTCGGGTTGATATAGTTTCCCAGAATACTTATCAAAATCCTCTTTGTCTTGGTTTTTAAATGCCTCTGCATAACGTAACATCTTGTGCTTGCTGATATCCAAACGCTCTTCCACCCTGTGAAAAGGAGAGCAAATAAAAGTAATGACTTATTTATTTTAGAGACCATCCAATTCGAGATGAACCTGGGTGGCTTATTTAAAAAATCCTAAAAGAACACATGCCACACTCCTCATACTAAAAGCATCATGAAACTGGCTTCCGTTGCTCTACTGTTGTGGTCGCAGCAGAATCCGCGATTGTGCGCAGTTTCGCTCCGAGTTCACTTGTTGGAGGGTCCCAATTGGGACTGGAACCACCCTGGAGGGATGGTGAAGAAAGGGGGAATTGCTTGGAGGGTTGAGGGGAGCCACATCTCCCTTCCCTGACAGGATAAACCCCCTCTGAAGACAAGTTGCAGCGGTGGTCAAAAATGACCACCACAAAGACGGGAAATTAAGACTGTGCTGGAGAGGTGCAGTTGTGAGCAGAGTGTGAATCAGACTAAACATATGGATATTAAGGTACCCCGGAATTAAGGAATAAAGAACTATTTTGGATCTACAAGTTATGAAAGAAATGATGAAAGTAAGCCTGGAAATGTGCAGCAATATATTGCAAAAATTAGAAATGGTACCTCAGTTTGAAGAAGAACAAAGAGAACCAGAAGGGGAGGAGTTAAATAAAGAGGAAACCGGTCTTGAAGATCAAATGGAACGACGACCATTTAAACGGGGGGGGGGGGGAGAATTAAAGCTAAAAATTTGTGGTTTGATGTAATAATGAAATGGGGAATGGTTCGGAAAGTTAAAGGGAAAAAGCAGAAGAAAGGGAGGGGGATAAAATAAATGAGGGAATGAGAAATGGAGGGAAATAATAATGGGAAAAAGGAGAATTAAGAGAAAGGACCAGAAAAGAAAGAGAAACAGGAAGCAAATAAGAATGAAAAGAAATTACATAGTTAGAAGGGTGAGAGATAATGGGTAAAAGAATAATAGGGAAGAAGATTCTGCAAGGTATATATAAGAATAAGGAATTGAAGGAAAGATCTTTATAATTAATTAAATAGATTAATATTTTACAATATATAGATGATTTACAAGGTGATTGAGAGAAAGAATACTATGCGGAATCTGACTTAAAATATATGTATATGTGATATGTAGTAATTGTTATTAATGTAGAGTGAGGTAATTATAATGAATTAAAGGGAATAAATGGAGGAAAGCATAAGGCAAATAGGTGGTAAGCTCGAATTGACAACTAAAGTGGATAATTTTTTAACTAATAGAATGAGGATGGAATTATTGAATAATAAATGAAATAATAGTATGTGATAAAATTGCTAATGTGACAGATAAAAGTAATAAGTGTAATGAATATAGAAAAGAAATAAGAATCCTAGATAATATTGTAAAGCAAGATATGAGAATATTTTAAGAAAAATGAATTAAGTTAAACTATGAACTGAAATTTGATAAGTTTAATGAATATAATATTTGGGAATATTTAAAAGAAAACAGAAAAAGTAATAATGTGATATGAATTTGAATAAGAAAGATGGATATGTAACTATGGTCATGTTTGTACTGAAATGTGGAACCACACTGCTTGCCCAAAGAGATTACACACACACACACACGCACACACACACACAACAAAAGAAGAAATTGAATAAGGAATTATTGTGTATATTTAAATAATATGGTGATTGGCATAAGAAGGGGGTATTGGAATGTTGAATAATTAACTAATGAAGGATTATAAATTATTACAAATATGTGCATCAATATTAGAATTGTATATATATAAGTATGATGAATGTAAGGGATGTGATTGTTATTTCAGTTTGCACCAAAATGTAGGATGATTAGGTGCAACACTGTTTATGTATTGATTATAAGTATAATAAATAAAAACTTGATTTTAAAAAAATAAAAATAAAAGCATCATGAAACTAACATGTCAGGTTTAGCCAAGCTCCCTTCATTATGAAAACAAGTTAAAGGCCACAACTAATCAATCTAACTTTCCAACAAGCAGATTCCAGATTCTGATGCCATTGACAAAGCTCTCTTATTGTCCAGCTCTCAATATATTTGAACCACAAAAATTCTGGTTTGAACCTAGGACCCAGTTTTGATAGCATGGGAATGGATGTACACCTAACTGTAGGGCATGTAAATCTGGACTTTGTAATAGTTAGGCAACTTGAATCCCGCAAAGTAGAAAGCAATAATAGAAGTATCGGACATGGTTTGTATTATTATCCTCTGACTTCACATTTGAGTGCCAATCTCAAATTCTGCCCTTGGTTAGAAAACATAATTTCCAGATTGAGATTCAGTCACTGATATTTCCAAATAAGAAACAAAAAGCCTATTTTTAAAAAGCTGGATATCAATTTAGCCTGAATTAAACAGACTAGTGTTTTGTATCTGCTTGGTATAAACAGCTTTTTATGTTCTTATTCCCAAATGCCTAGATATATTTTAACTAATTTTATTAACTATATTGGACACTATTCCTGTAGGCAATATACAGTTAGGTAAAAGGAGTTCACCTGAGAAACCACTTGTCTCCTAACCCGTACTCTTGGCCACAAATGCCAGACCGAGGCCAAAGACATCGTGGGAGTTTCCGTTCAAGCATGACTGTAGTAGCAACAACCTGTATGAAAGCAAACAGATCAGTTCAATCCTGCCACAAAACCAGGCAAAATTTTGTATTCAAAAATAAAATAGAAAGTGGTTCAAATAATTCATTAAGTTTAATTTATTAGAATTAAGTTAAGTGGAACCAAAAGGGGGGGGGGGAATCATACAAATGGGACCAGACACAAAATCAAAAGCAACCATCTGTTTTACAGTGCAATTTTCTGCTAAAATTAGAAACAGACAAGTACTTAAGATGATTCAAGTGATATTTGGGAGTCTTGATCATCATCTGGCTAGGTGACTTTTTTCATGCTCTATAAAGCCTCTGGGTCAATCTTGAGGCAGCAACAGGTCCAGAATGTGGCAATTAGATTTGGTGGGCAGTCCATCCTTGCACAAAACATCTCTCCTTTAATGTTCAAATGGGCTCAGTTCAAAATATTGATAAACGACCTACAGAGTCTTATCTGTGTAGCTCTAAGTCTTATCAGGCACTGCTTTTTCTGAATTAAACCCACCCATCCTGTGGGAATCTCTCAGCGAGGGCTGGAGTTAGGGGACATGGACAAGAAGGCAATTCTACATCCCCAGAAGTTGGTAAAGCTCTCTCCCCTATGGTATTTTTAGATGACAAGAGATGGTGAGATGGTGCATTTTACTACTACTTCAACCATGCTAAATGCTAATGGTGTTGAGAGTCTTTTGATTTGGTAGGGAATACAACTGTTTTTAAAAAAATAATGAATTCTCCACTATGGTGGGAGGCTTCATGTGAATATAAACAATTCAGCTTTTATAAATGAAAGCTGAGTTTTGAAGGAAATACCCATAATACAATCTGCACACTGCCTCACAATACATTTCTCAGCAGGTAGAGCCAGGTGCACTTAGCTAATGGGGCTCCTTCCACTTCACAATCCACTTCACAATGTTCAGTGGCAAATGTGATTATGCTTGAATTATTTTTCTATTATCGCTGTGAAGTAGCTCTGTCTTTATACACTTCATATAAACAAACAGTTAAGATTTGTTTAATTTTACAAGCACTGAATAAATAGTGGCATTCAGTTAAAACCACAAGCTAGCAAGTTATGTAAAATAAAGTTTCATATATAAGTATTCTCGCTGACATAATCAGATTGTAGGCGTGTGATTTCAAACTGTTCAGATTTCAGCTCAACAGCCATAGGCAAGAACATCCTGAACATAAAGTAATCCTTTTGTGTGTTCCAGACTAACAAGATATCCCATGTTTTGAAATTTCATCTCAAGTGAAAGAATGTTCTGTGATTGATTAGCTTCTTTTTAAAAAATTCTCCAAACCAAGACATGTGATAAGCTAATACAGCAAAGACTGCATCCCTGTTGTCTTTTTCTAGAACTGGTTGAGGAGGGAAAGGGAGAAGTGAGGGAGAATTAGGTGGGCAATATTCTGAGATTAAGTTATAGTACATTTTATCGTATAGGAAAATTAATTGATTGTTGGTAATAGAATGTTATTGCTCTGGATTGTATTAGCATGTACACTGTGCTACTGTACTCTTGGACTATCAGGTTGTCAAATGGAAAAGTAGGTTGCCTTGATTTTTAAGATGTACAGCTGTTACCAAAGGCAAAATTACATATATATATATAAAGTTATATATAACTTTAAAAGCAAAGCTGAATACCATACATATAAATACCCGCAAAAACTTAAGAATGAATATATATATATATATATATATATATATATATATACACACGTATGTATGGTATTCAGCTTTGTTCGGGTATTTTCCCACATCATTATAGTTGTGCTTTTAAAGTTGTAGCAATGTTTCGCCAGAATCTCATCTGCCATCATCAGGCTTCTGTCTTGTGTTCGTCTGTGAGTCAGATGTTCACAGCTATTTCTTCTGACTCACAGACGAACACAATACAGAAGCCTGATGATGGCAGATGAGATTCTGCTGAAACATTACTACAACTTTAAAAGCACAACTACAATGTCGTGGGAAAATACCCGAACAAAGCTGAATGCCATACATGTAAGTACCCGTGAAAACTTCACACACACACACACACACATACATATGCACATATACACATATATAATAAAAATATTACTCATATGCATTAGGTAGATTCATTCATTCATTCATTCATTCATTCTCTCTCTCCCCCTCCCTCCCTCCGTGTGTAATACTCATTGAAATATGTTTTTCTTTTGTTAATGTAGTTCAAAGGCTATGCTGAGATTAATCTATTGCTCTTGCTTCCTTTCTTGAATCATTTCTGTGACTGTTTATGCAAAAAAGGTCACAGCCTTCACAATCATGCTTAATAAGTGATTCTGTTATGTACTATGAGAGTTGTTTTTATATATTAAGTGGCCAATTTTTCTGTAGCCTTGATGATAATCTGTAACAGAAAAGAATTTGACTGACAGAGCATGCTACCCCATGAAGTGGCCTTTGCAGGTTGTACAACGTGGACACAGCATTACTGTGCAGGAATGAGAAAAGGTACATGGGGGAATAATCACAGTTGTTTCTTTATTCTAAGTACCTTTCAAATGGTTATATCTTAATTTTAGCTTTAACTATTCAAAAATAATTTCAACATTACATTGTGTTACACATTACCCATACCCAAAAGGGAAATGGATTTGAATGTAATATAATACGTTGGCACAAAAGTGAGTTCTACCATGTTTGTTGTGAGCTCAATGTTTTGCACAGGTTGCATGCTTCATTCTAGAAACTAATTGTGAGGTTTTTAGATTGTCTCTGGGCTCAGTTCTTTCCATATGAGTACATTGTCACTTCTTCCCTCACTAGCCATGCATGGTGGATCTGAACCCGTACATTTTTCATTCATATCTACAAGCCTGTATGTTGAAAAGTATACATTCATTTAGTGAATTGGAATTCATTCATTAAATGAATTAAAATTCCAGATTAATTTAGCAGCAGCTTCTAGCTAAGTGTGATGATGGTGTTATCAATAGTGGAAAATAAAATATTTAGAAAGCGTTAACATTATATTAGCTCCCAGTTAATAGTAGTGGCATCCATAACACAACTTTGCAGTATAAGAGCATATCAATATTATAATTTTACCTTAACATAGACTAGTTTATTTAATTGTTATGATTTCTTCAAAATATACTATACTGGAAAATTATAAAATATAATTCTGGGACACCCCAGTACCCTTTAGAGTCACAGACACCAGAAATGCTTCACTGGGAGCCATAGCAAGTAAATCATTTGTAAAGTAGTCTAAATTTCTACTGCAGACATGTCCAAAGCAGCAAAAATAGATAACTTCTCAATAGATTGAACTGCACTGCATGCCTATAATCTCACCTGTGCTCGCCAAAGCTCATCTCGTTCATTGGCTACTCGCCAATGAGTGTCACCCATCATAGCAATGAGCAGGTTGAGCATGAGCAAAGCAGCAATGATAGCAAAAGCAGCATACACCACACAGAACATGAATGGCAGATCCACATCATAGTTGGCTGGTCCATCTATGATGGTAAGGAAGAGCTCAAACGTACTGAAGAGAGACATGGGGTAATTATAGAATTGTCCCAGATTGCTTGGATTTTCTGTCTGAAAGATGATGTAGAAAGCTGTTGATGAAACAAAAATGAGCAGTCAGCTACATATATATCCTATATATATCCATATATATCCACACACAACCGGATAATCTTCATCTTACACTATTCCTTTCAACTACTCTGCCACAAGAATCTTAAATCCTTATCTACCTTTCTGCTGATGTTTTCTCTGTGAGTTACTTGTCCTGAAGGTTAATAGCCTCTCTTAATTCTCATGAAAATTCTAAGGCCGGCATGTAAATTCTTTTCTTCTCTTCCATAACTTGAATAACTGGATGCTGATATTCAATGTTGTGGAAGTCCCACAAAAGCAGATGAGAGGCAAGCAATTTTAAACATGTGATATGCAAGTATGGATGAAAAGGAGCAAAATCTATCATTAGGTGTGTTCGGTAGGGAATAATGTGCAATAGTACATTTCAAAATATATATATAGAGAGAAGTCAGGATAGCAGAAGGCTCAGGGTAAATCACCATTTAAAATAATGGCTTTTAAACTTTGTATCTTAAGAACATTCTGTTCTTAAAAGGTTGCACAATAAGAAACCTCAGTACATTTCCTATAGAATTCCCAAACATAAAAATCATGCTAGATTAGAGCAAAGGACTTGTTCTTCTCAGTTTTAACAATGGCCATCAAAAGACTGACAACAATTTTTTTCTGCTATTTATTCCTCCATTTCTTCCACTAATATTTAGGAGCACGTTGACCCCAAATTTTAACACATTTTGGATGAATCCCTTTTAAAAATGGCCACCAACATACTGATACCAGTATTTCCTGCTATTTATTCCTCCATTTCTTCCACTAATTTGGAGCCTCCCACTCCAAATTATAAGGCATTTTATTCAAAGACACCAGTCAATATTGCTAAGCTGGTATACTGATCATATTCACTGAACATATGTCCAGCACTTCCACATGCATGACAGTGAAAACTCAGCATTGAATATCAAATATTTTAAGTTTTACATTGCATTATCTGCTAATATTGCTAATATTATCTGCTAATATCTTGCACACTTTGAAATTCCATAAAATTCCAGGGTTCTTATGAAAATCATTACTATTACAAAAACATGGGTACAATTTAAAAAACTGGAAATATAGAGGATTTTTTTTTCCACTGGAGAAATGATGAATAGCATAAGAACATTAAGAGTTTCTCAGACTGCATATTCAAAGAATACTGAGATAATCTTGGAAGTTCACATCTTTCTTTAGAGCTCACCTGAGGCAAAGCCAAATATGACAACAGCCATTAGCCCACAAAAACGTATAAGGTCACCAAATATCATCTGTAGAGAAGATAAAACAATAATGTTATTCTGTTTAACTTTTCTCCAACTCTACTGTTCCCAACCCACTATTTTCTTATCTTTAAATTCTCAGTTCCAATTATTAGAAAAGGTGTCCTTCTGAGATAAATTCAAGTAGTTCTCAATTTACAACCAGTCACTTAACAACTATTCAAAATTACACTGGACACACCCAAAAGCTACTAAACAACCTGTTTTTGAAGTTACAACATCTACACACACCCTTGCAGTCATGTGATTGCGTTTTGGCTGCTTAGCAATCAGCTCAGCTTTATAGCCATTTGCAGCATTCCTTGCCATTGTGACAGAAATTGTGACATTTCTAGCCAGTTTCTGGCATTGACTTCCAGTTTCTGACAAAAACAAACACACAAACCACCCACTGGGAAAAATTCATTGATTTAATCACTGCGGCATTTGCTTAACAACTATCAAACAAACTATTGCAAAATTTATTCAGTCATGCAACGCCTTGACTTATGACTGCATCGCAACCATTAATTGTAGGCTCACTTATAGTTGTAAGTTAAGGACCACCTGTGGAATTCTTCTTCAGTTTGACTTCAGTTTTTAGCTTTGCTTTCCTTACCTTCTGTATCATGATGGTGAAAGGCCCAAGCATCTGAAATCCTCGTGCAAAGTACATGACATTGCACCAGCCCAACACCAGGGCAAAGGACATGGGGGCCACTTCTCCTTCTGTGCTGGTGAGTCGCATTACCATGGTTATCAGGATCACACAGGCATATGTGATGCTGTAAATGGTAAATATAAGTAAGAATGAGTAATTAATTAATTAATACAACCTAAAATTAATTGAGATAGAATTGAGCCCTAAACATACATGAGCAGACAATACATGTAAATATATGCTCATGTGCATTCATAGAGAGAGTCTCTTTTTCCCCTTTTGCTGGAACAAGGCATTTCTTGTGAAAAATTGTTTGTTGTCCATTTTAATGTGCCTCACGTTGAAACGTTTGAGGAATTTCAATTTTTTCAGGAAATTCAGCAGTCAACTCTACCAAAACTTAAACAGATGTTAAGAGACACAAATTTGAAAAGAAAGAAATCTGGATTTGAAGCGGATAGTAAAAGAAGAGAAAAATGGTGAAAGGAAAATTACAATGGCAGAGTATATATAAGAAAAAAAAGAGTATTTGAGTTTTGGAACTGTAGAGTCTCACATTATTATGTGAAAAGGTCCTCCCAGGATAGTTTGTCCAAAGTACTTTGTGGCTCCAACTCTTAGAATATCTGGAATCTATAAAAAAATGAAATATATATCAAAAGTTTATAATCAACTGAGGACTGAAATCACCAATATGTCAAGTCTACCTCTAGAAATTGCTTCAACAGTATAGAGGTCAGAACATATTTTGTGCCCGGGTCAAGGAAAAAATAGAGAAAAACAAGCCAGTATGAGGCCAATGCCACTACAACAACAACAACAATTCCTCGATTTATGATTGAGCCCAATTATGACAATTGAGCCCAACATTTCTGTTGTTAAGTTAATTTTGCCCCATCTTACGACCTTCCTTGCCATAGTTGTTAAATGAATCACTGATAAATTAGTAACCCAGTTGTTAACTGAATCTGGCTTCCCCATTGGCTTTGCTCATCAGAAGCTCGTAAAAGATGATCACATGACCTTGGGTCATAGCAACGGTCATAACTATGAACCAGTTCCAAGCATCTGAATTTTGATCACATGATCATGAGGAATGCTGCAAAAGTTGTAACTGTAAAAAAGTTCGTAAGTCACATTATTCAGTGCCATTGTAACTTTGAATGGTCACTAAACGAACTGTTATAAGTCAAGGGCTTCCTGAACCTGACATGATTTTATAAAGGGAAACCTATACACTACAACAATCAGCAATCAAAAATGTCACCTCCTTTTCACTAGTTAGCAACACTTTGATAAGTCAGCGATCTAAATCACTTCGTGTTAGGAGTAGTAATTTTGCAGAATACAGACATTCATTTTTTTTTTTAATATTGGTAATTAAACAAGCAAAAGGTGAAAAGATGTTAAAATGCTCCAAACAGGGTACAATTTAAAACAGGGGTCCCCAAACTTGGCAACTTTAAAACTTGTGGACTTCAACTCCCAGAATAGCTGTCTGGAGAATTCTGGGAGTTGAAGTCCACAAGTCTTAAAGTTGTTAAGTCTGGAGACCTCTGATTAAAAATATAAAATACCTTAAGCCTGTAACATTCAGTAAGACAGTGATTTTTAAAAATGAATTCAAATCGTTAATATCGATCAATTATTTTATTACAGTATATGCAGGTCCTGCTAACAATTACCGGCTGTATTCATCCACAATCAGCTCATCTATAATTACTTACTTTATTTCCAAAACAAAAATTAATTCTGGATACTTCCCAACAAGAAAGTCAGAAGTACAGGTAGCATATGGAGCATCATGTTTTTGAAGACACTTATATTGATTCCAGATAACATAGGATTGCTTAGGTATACAGGGTCTCTCCAATGACAGATAGAACTGCCAATCTGATGTTGGTATACTTCAGTGAAGATCAGTTCTATTAGAACTTTATTCTTTCGTCCTTACCTCTAGGAGTAAAATTGCCATGGCTCCAATCACTGTAATTAACTCTCCCACAAGCCTGAGTTGATCTTCATATGTCAGATATGATTCCTAAAAACAGGAAAGTATCCTAATTAAGGAAATGATGAAAAACCTGGAACTGGTATCATCAAGACATTTAATTAACGTAGTGTAGTTTAATTTACTTACTTCTCTTTTGGCAACATTGATAGTGAAATTGTGATTGGAAAGATGAACCAAAAGGAAAGATGCACAAGTAACATGCATTACCCCACCTCCAAATTTTTCCTGAACACAGGAAACCAAATACTATAGGCCAGTGAAAGAAAGAAAGAAAGCTACCTTGCTTTTACAGCAGGGAACGTTGTAAATTAATGCTAATTTCCATTTACAGGCTGAAGAGGTACAGTTGAATACCAGGAAACATCTTTCATTTTTTAATCTTCTAAGATCTAAGAAATGTGTATTATTCGTCTATGGATCAGGTGAGAACGACTCATTTGAGAAAAGCTAGTGAAAGTCAGAGCCTTGCTGGCAAATTCAGTGAATTTTTTTCCTTATATTTAAACTGTTCTCACAATTGTGGTAGTCGTTTTCTTCGTGGCCGCTTGGGAGCATTTTCAAAGAGTTTTTACAAAGTTTAAAACTTTATTTAACTTTGTTGATTCTTCTGTGCTACATTTTGAAGACAGTTATTTCACAATTTGCCTAGATTCACAGAGAAACTTGTAGTTATGCACCGATATACCTCCAATGTTTTCTGCACAATGATGGTGTTATCCCGCTCGTCCGTTTGATTATCTGAGCGATTTTTCAGTGGTCTATAAACGCAGCACATGGTGAAGCAAATCATATAGAGGACATAAAACAGAGCCAGGAAACAGAAATAAGGACGCCCGTATGTGTTCCACTTCAGGTTCACAAGTTCCTTCACAGGAGTAATATCTAGGATACGGCGAGCCTGGAAAGAAGAGGCAAGGGGGAAAAAAACCCTTGGAATTAACTCTAAAAGTCCCATATTTCAAAAACCAGCCACTGGTGTGGTCCTAATAATATATTTATTATTTATCTTAATTTTATATATTGGGCACACTTATATACCTTCTTTCACAAAGAACTGCAAGGCAGTATTCCAAAGAAAAAAAGAAAATATTAAAAACAGGAGAAAGACATTTGAACTTTCGAAAGAAAGGGTATTCCTTAATTGGAGAGCAGTCGGGGCAGAGCTCTTCATGCACTCCTGGGAAAACTTTCAAAAGGCCTCTACTGCAGATCTTAAGAGTTCAGCAGATTCATAACAAGTCATGCAGTTTTAAAGATATTTTGAATTAAGTCCTCAAACCACTGGCAATCAATGGGTGTCTTTTAAACGAGAAGAACATAATCATCACTGGACAAATGCACCAATTGTCATTCTAATTCTTTTCATGCTGAACTAAAGTCTTTAAAGAAAGTTAAGTTCTTTGAAAATATTTGATTTCCAAAGGTGTGAATGCAAGAGCTAAATTAAATTATTGAATTATTATATCAATTACTGGGATTATGGAATGGGAAGCTTCTACAGTACATGGGACTTTCTTAGTTTGCTGTCCTTTAACCATGGATTGAGGGCTTTTTGCCATGAATTTAATTGATGACTTACCTTAGTTGGACTATCCTTTCCCTTACATAATCCTTTCCAATACTTAATATGAACACTTTAATCCTATCTGCAAGTTACCCTAAGTACACGTAATGGTTATGGTTCATATTTTGTCCCTTCTGCCTGGCAGCTAGCACTTTGCATATGCATATTAAGTCTATATACAAAAAGTGCTACATTTAATAATATATTTTGCAAAATTCCGCACATGAGTATTTAGACAATATACTATTTCAGTATATGCTAGAAAATGATCCATATCATGAAAACGCATGTCTTCGAAATTGAAAGTAATCTCTAGATCATATTCTTATTATATCATTCTGTAAATGAATAAGAAATTGATCAAAGGTTCAATGGTTCAGTCCTTTTAGCTAGTTTTGTGCTTGATTCTTTTTAAAAGCAAACTCTCCTGCAGTTTATCCAAATATTACTTTACTGACATTTATCAGTGTTTTCCAGTGAGTGTACCCATCAGTAGCTTTGTATTGGATTGATCTGTCAATTCAATTGACTATCGTATAGTTGAGAACTCAGCAATAATTTATACAGTATATTTATGAATTAAGCAGCCCTTTGTCATATACCCAATCTAGCAAATTGGTGTTACCTTTGAAAACTTTTTTTTAACATAAGATGATTTGATTTGCAAAGATACCACACTTTTTCAGCAGGTATGTTCCTACTGAAGCACAGTTTGTTATATGTTCCTCATTCATCAGGCGCTCTCACTATTTTATTTAAGTTAATATGTATTTTAAGGTCTCTCCCTCTCATATATTTTCAAATCAACTGCTTGACTATATGTTACATTGATAAGCCAATGATAAACAAGGGAAGTTTTAAAAAAGAATCGAGTACTTTATTTGATCAAGTGTACTTAGACACACAAGGAATCTGGTCTTAGATTAGATTGAGCAATCTTGGCAACTCTGGGCCAGATGGCTAGCTTCTCTGACCTCTCAGAAATTTTAAAAAAGATTGGATATAATTTATTTGCTGAGTTTCACTCTGTTTCCCAATCAGAATTTATTCTTATTATTTTCTTTTGCATTCAAATGTCTATCTATTTGTATTTCAATTCATATAACTTTCAAGATGGGTAATATTGTAGGGCCCAGAGTCTGACATTTCTATGTTGCAATTACTGATTACTTAATATGATCCATTATTTTAGTATCCCAGGTCTCCTGAATTCAGGGAAGAAAAACTGGTAGATCATTCATTTATATGGAATTGTTTACCTTACGAATCATGCCTACCCATGGCTATGAAACTTGATTACAGTTTGAAATGAAACCTGAACTACAAAGCCATGTTTTACTCCTGACCAATAAACAGAATCAGAAAGCCTAATTGAAGATATATTTTCTAATCACAGTTTGAAATCACAAATTATGTGATTAGGTGTGATGCACCATTATAATCAGAATGCTAAATGGATGGATGATGCAAGTCATGTTATGACTTAGAATTCTATGTGAATCATATAAATCCTTATATAACATAATTTGATGATGCTGTTAAACTACTTGGATCATTCACCTTTTTCTGCATTAGAATTTTAGAATTACTTTTGATGAATCTTTAGAAAGAAATGATAAAATGTACTTTTAACTGCTGCTAAGATTGGGAACCACGTCTTTATTATTCTATTTTTCTTCTGTTCTTTTTCTTTTTTTTCACATTTTTATTATTTTTATTTTTCTTATGTTGAACTTAAAATCTGTATTGTTTTTATTCTATCGAAAAACTTCTTTAAAAAATTATATGTGTGTATGTGTGTGTATGATTTTTATAAAAAAAAAATAAGAATATATATAAGAAATTTTAAGCGAATTGTATCATTACTCAGAGTGCTGCCATTTGTGAATATGATTTTAACAAAATGCAGCTACTTTTTTCTGATTATGTTTCTGGTTTAAAGAATTCAAAAGCTGTCAAATGTCATATATAACCTTCACCAAAGTAAAGTTGGAAATTGGTGTTGTAAAGTCAATGATGACCGTGTATAAAAAAAACTTCCCATACAGCTCACAAGTTATTAAATTTAACATGACAGCCAGAGAGCACATGCAAAATCCAGTAAGGTTAACAAGGTCTTAGTAGGCAAACAATTTATCTTTGCAGGACAATTGATCTGTATTGTCAGTTACTGCCAGAGATGAAATGAACCATTACAAGGTGGCAAAGTTGACTAACAATGGCTTACTAGGATTTGAGGCAAGTGTGATCCTCATTGGTATCTCCATCATGCCAGGAATTTAAAAAAAAAAAACTTTTGAATTCAAAGTAATTATCTATCTCTGAGCTACAGCCCTTGCCTTAAAATAAAAAGAAAGGGCTACAATGCTTGTTATTACCAAACTAAACAATAAAATAATGGCAGGATGTAAATCTCATCACCATCTACAGTTCCATAAAGACTTGTGAAGATTCTTCTATTTGGGGAATTACATTTCAGAGACTAAAACTCTTTACTATGCAATTGCATTTCTTGCATCCTTAAATACAATGCAAATTTGGAAAGTGACACATGTGGGGGTGCACAAGAAGGGGCTTTTTGGCACAAGGTCACAATAAATTGCAACTTTGTAATGAGAAGTTAACCACAGGAAAGAAATAAACTGGTGGGGGGAGGATCAAATAAGGCTGAATAATGGAACAACTTCCAGATTAATCTTTATCATGTTGCTGTACAAACAGTAACACTGTTAATGTTTTAGATAATTCCTGGGCCCTTAAATAAATTCTGCTGAATACTATTTATGGAACTTGTTCCATTTATGGTACTAGTTCCATGGAACTCTGGAACCTAGTGTTGGGAGAAACAGGTTCAAGTCCACATTGAGCTAGGGAACTGGGTTTATTGAGCCAGTCCTTCCATTTCAGCCCAACCTACGTCAAAGGTTGTTCTGGAGAAAAATAAATGGGAGGAGAAAACACTGTGTAAATTACCTACAGCTCCAGGAAGAAAGCTGCTATACAAACAAATTGAACCAATTAACTATACTTTATTTGAAGGACATTTTGAACTTTCTGGGATCAGAGATGAATGAAAAATAAAATTAGAAAACAAACAGAAGCCTATGCAACAAATTAACTTCTATAAATCAAAGAATGCTAATAGTGCAGTTAGAAAATTGTTATTTTTTAAAAAATATCAGACAACATTCTGTAAATACAGAAGAAGCAAATTTTCAAATAGGTGGTTTATGTTATGAATATTTTGACTACATTCTAATTCTTTTATTTGAATGAAAAAATGTAACAAGAATACAGGAGATTTAGCTTATTCGGTAAAATTGTCCACCTGTTGTATTAGTAATTGTACAGTTTGCATTGGAAGACTGTTCTCTTAAATCTGATCCCTGAAGTCTGTGATGTGAATTCTATTATCAGAATCTCAGAATCTTTGCTTCTTCATCAGCTGGACTTTTTAAAAAATTCATAGACAATACAATTTATATGAACAACTAGGAGAACATTCAAATTCCTTGTTCAATAATAGAAGCAGTCCTCATTCTACAAAGATTAAAAGTATCTGAGCTCCATAGTACCTCTCTTTTCTTTGTTGACACAACAAGTTCCAGAAAAGATTGGTCTTCACCCCAGGAATCAATTTCTGTAAGATCATAGAGAATGGTAGTAATAGGTCCCAAAGACCACATTATTTGCTTACGCTTTTGCAAAAGATGCTGGAACATCTGAAAAAAAAAAAAAACAGCACAGGATTGTTTACATCAGATTGCTGATAAGATTCAGTACTAGAACGTATTAAAGATGGCACTGAGTTCAAAATAATACAACTCTAGATGCTGGAATTGGATGAAAGTGCAGAAATTCTGAATAGTTCAAAGGGCTATAAGCTTTTAGGATCCAGAACTTTTTCCATTAGGATCCTAATTAAAGGCACCGATCTAGAAATCAGGAGTCTATTTTCTAGATCTACCAAAACTAAGTCTTTTTTTAGATATGAAGTCAACTGTATGACCTTGAGCCAGTCATTCTGTCTTTCTTTAACCCCTAGGAACAAGGCAATAGCAAAATCATTTCTGAAAAACCATGCCTGAAGGACCTAGTCCATATAGTTGCCAGGAGCCAAGACTGACTTGAAACAACACCCAAAAGAAAACAATTTTTTTTATCAATTTCCAATTAAGAGAAAGAGGTGTTCATACTAAAAACAATTTTAAATTACAATTACATCACAAAATGATCTAAAGGAGTAAGATTTGCTTATACTATTAAATAAGTACCAAGTATGTCATTTTATATATATGAGACTTGGGTTTGTATATTTTCCTTTCATTCCTAGCGAAAACATGAAGCACATAAAGGGAACTTCGTTGTATGTGAAGGAGGAATTATGAGACTGCTACAGCATAAAACAATAATCCATAACAATCCAAGATTTAACATCTGAATCTGGCTTTTGGTTTTCTTAGTATTTAATGTCAGGGAGCCCAATATAAATGTCTAGGACTTTTCTGAGGACAAAACAAGATATTAGAACAAATTATATTCTAAAAATTCTTCTCCCCACCCCCACCCCAAATCCCATAGAGATCAATTGGCCCATGAGCTCACCACAGTGTTACCCTCAACTCCAGCTAGTTTGAATGGAGTAAGACCTTCATTGTTGGGAATCAAGTCCAACGGTTCCAAGTTCCCTTCTTGTTTGTCATAGGAAAGGATGAGATTGTACATCTGGCATGCAAATGTCCTGTTTGGCTGAAGAACTAGAATATGAAGAACTGTGTTTCCTGGAGATGAAACAATTTGAGAACTGCTCTTATACAACTGCACAATTGGTTAATATTTACTGAATTAATCCAGATTAGTAATGTCTCATTATTCAGATCTCATTATTAGCTCTTCATGAACACAACTTTCATTTTTATATATCCATTTTGAATCAGTGGGATAAATTTATTAGTGAGTCTGAAAACTGAGTCATACTTTGTTACATAGCATTTTGACTGAGGTGTGTTACAGAGAAGAAAAAAAATAAAACACCAAAAAATTCCTAACAATTGAATTAAAGCATATATTAAAAATATACTAAATGCTATCATATAATTGTACATAAGTGCCAAGTGTTTGATTACTCAATGGTCTATCAAATTCAAATCAGGTATAATTCATTATTGTTTCTACCAAAAACAATTCATGTTTTTTACAAGTTGACTGTGGGCATCTTACCTAGAGAATCTTGTGCCCTGATATCAGCTCCATTTTCAATTAATAGATGAACAATTTCCTCATTGCCCACACAGGCCGCAAAAGATAAAACATGCTCCCCTATAAAATTTGTGAGGAAAAACAAAATTAAAACAAAGTTTCAGTAATTTAATAAAAATATATTCTGAAAACCATAATTGGGGTTCACTGTTTAGCTGATTCCATTTATTGGGGGATCAATGAATAAGTTTCCCTTGGTTAATCAGTTTTCATTTAAACAGTTTTCTTTTGCCTTGTACTTTTCTTATGACAGCAGCTGCGTATTTAGGAAAGCCATTCCTCTGCATACATATCTAAATAAAATAATGTGTTGGATCCAGAGTAACCTTAGAGTTTATGGTATTGAGATTTAATTTATTATTTCAAGGACTCTTCTTTAATTACATGTTATCTTCAACTTATGACAAAAATTTGAGCTTGGAATTTTGGTCGTTAAGATATTGTGGCTGTAAATCAAGTCACCATGTGACCAGGCTCAATTTTACAACCATGTTTATGATGGTCATAAAGCAAATCATTATAGTCATTAAAATAATGTGGTTGTAAATCCAAATTCACCTTATCCGATAGACATTGGATTATGGAAAATGGCAAAACCGTCACAAAAAGTAATCAGGTGACTGCAGGATATTATAACTTGTCATAAATGAGACCTGGTTGCCTGAAATGCAATCATGTGACTGTGGGGGTAGGTCTTTTTTCCAAGATGGTTGTAAATTTGAGCAGTCGTTAAATGACTTGGCCATTAAGTTGAAAATTACCTGGATGATTAAATATGGATTCATCCCATTTTATTTACTCATTTGCAGACAAAACTAGTCTACTAAGATTTCTTTATTGAGAAAAGAACTTTTGGGGAGCAGAGCTAACTCTGTGGAGCATTGACTTTCTTCTGCTAATCAAGTTATCTCTGTTCTCTGATGCAACAGATGGAATCATACCAAAATAGGAGCGATGTGAGGAGTTACGCCTGAAGAAGTGTCCTGTAGCTCGAGGAGTAGAAATGTGAGCCCTCTTCTTCAGCAGACATCTCACTAAATGCACATTTTGATTAACTGCTGCAATGTGGAGTGCTGTCTGTCCTGTAATTAATATTTTTTAAAAATTCAAATTAGTACATTCTTTGTACCCAATAGTGGCTTGTTTCCAATTATGGAATGCTAAGAAACCAACCACCATTTTAGATTTGTTTTTCAACAGGGAATTTAGAAAGAATGTCTTTCCTAGCTTGCAAAACTTTCCTAACTGACAAGATCAGATACGGAGTTCAAACATTCAGATTGAAATGAAAGCCAAAGCTCCAGTTAAACTAGATATTAATGACATCTTTGAATCCTATGATTAGAAGACACCTCTTTAAAAAAAATCACTGCATCTGAGACTGTAGGTAGAATTAAGGGCTTTTTAAGCATTCCCTTCTTTACCATCTTCCCACTGAAAATCCATTTCCTAATACAGTCAATCTTTGTTACAAAGCGTTTAGCAGCAGATTTTAGCTTTGATGATTTAGCTTTTCAGATAGAAAGTCCCATTCTTACTATACACAATAGCTGTTCAAACATTTTGTTCCTATTATCGTTCATTCTGTTTTCTGATTTGAGGTCATGAATATTTGCAGCAATAGCAAGTGTTAAATCAAGTGTTAAATCATGTGTTACAATGTTTATTTATTAAACAATTTTTAAAATTTGTTTAATAAACTTACATCCAACTCACACATAGGTGATTACAGGTGGCTTACAACATTAAAGATCCACAACATAAAAACCCATTAACACTCCCCACTCCATGGCATCAGCAACAGAATCAAATCAACCACTGGATTGGCCTACTGACAAAACCATGTCTTCATGGTCTTTTAGAACAACAACAGGTGGGGGCCAATCATACGTGGGGGGAAAATGATGTTCCATGGAGAAAAGAGCTCTATCATTATGTTGCATCATAAGCTCCACTTCCAATATATTTTTTGTATCATGGGAACAAGGGTAAAAGAGCAGAGTTTATATCATGACATTGCTGGGGTGGCGCAGTGGTTAAAATGCAGTACTGCAGGCTAACTGTGCTGACTGCCAGCAGTTCGAATCTCACCAGGCTGAAGGTTGACTCAGCCTTCCATCCTTCCAAAGTTGGTAAAATGAGGGCCCAGATTGTTGGAGGCAATAGGCTGACTTCGTAAACCGCTTAGAGAGGGCTATGAAGTGGTATGTAAGTCTTATTGCTATTGTCATTTGGGCATCGTGCTTAGGTATGGAGAACTTCAGTTTGAGATCTCAATAACTATATGTATTTGCTATTGATATAAAATTTAATTTTTTTTAAAAAAAATCCTAGATCAGCTCCTTAATAGCAATCACCTTCATAAAGGGCTGATGTCATTTTCTCATTGATGAGTTCTGGAGCCACTTCCAGAAGAAAGTCAGCAGCTTCTGTGCAATCATAGAGGGTGGCTACATGGAGAGCAGTCTCCCCAATCGCTCCTGCATAGAATAATAAAAAACAAACAAATGTCACTTAAGAGTGAGTTTACAACCCAGCCTTGCTTGTTGGTTCAGACATCTGTACCATACACATATAAGATATACAAAACATGTTATCAACAGCAACAGTTGAATCAATCAACTACAGAATGAAAGCTTCTTTACTGAAGCTATAAGCTACCATCTTGGCCCACTGCAGATTGACAGATATGTAAGTTGATAAACATCTATCTATTGTCTGTCTTTTTAAAATGAAAGGGAAAGAGAGAAAGTTTGGCTTGCCTCACTTATGGATATCTTTTAATATAAAATTTAGAGCTTTGCAAAGAGAAATAGGGCTCTGTGATGGTGAGGGAACTATTCCGTCTTGCTAGTACTGTAGTCAAAGGACTGTAATTTGGCTGTGAATTGTACACCATTCTTCCATCTTGACGTCTTCTCATCCAATTGCAATAAACATGCACCTGGGTGTTCACTAGTCTTGGGTGTGTACTAAAAGGTTGCAAAATGTTAAGTCACAGAACGTTCCGACCCTGGAATGGACTGTTCCAGGTAATCTAGAAATGTTCTAATTCAAAATATTGTTTTTGTACCAAAATGTTTCTTGATGGCTGTTTTGGACATCCTTAGTGGAGTGTTTCTCAATCTCAGCAACTTTAGAACCTGCAATCTTCAATCCCCAGAACTCCCCAGATGGCATGTAATAACAATATAATGTGAAAAAAGAGTCGCATTTCTATATACATCTGCGCACATTTGTACTGCAGAGGATCAAAGATTGGAGAAATTAATGCATGTAATTTTACTGCAGCACTTGATAGTCCAAGAAGATTCTCTCTTCAGAGGAGGTTTAATTACCTCTTTGATAAATGTCACAAGAACCATCTTGGATTAATTTCTTAAGACCCTGAACATTGTTCTCTTTGGCAGCCAGGAGAAGAGGAGATTCCCAGATCCTGCAGAAAAAAAAGTCCAATAAGAAAATTACTCTTGAGGATCAGAATAACCCTTGACAACAACAAACAGAATTGTAATGAAAAGACAGGAAAAGCATGACCAGGAAGTATTTATGTTTGAGGAATCTGACAAAAAAGAGCAAAATTAGTTATCAAACAAAGGGTGTCACGATAGCAATAGCACTTAGACTTATATACAGCTTCACAGTGCTTTACAGCCCCTCTATAAGCAGTTTACAGAGTCAGCATATTGCCCCATCATCTATTTGTTCCCTTGGTAATGGATCTTTCCTCCCTCAGTCATCTGCCATTCTCCATACATACAGTAGTATTAAGCTGCCTCACTCAAGCCTACTAATTTCCTACACGTTTCCTACATGAAAGTAGTTTGGTAAGAACAAAAAAAATGTGATTCCCTCCTTAAACCAGCTTCACTAGTGGTGATGTTTACAGAGGTTGATTCCTTACTGGTAGTTGTTATCAGTAAGGGCTTCCCCTTACTTCTCCCTTACTCTGGAGAATTGCCCACTTTTCATTCCTTCAATCCCCCTTCTGAACAAAGATTACAGGTGATACCTGGATATTAAGTACATAAATACATGATAGGAAATATTTTATTGAGAATGAAGTTATATGAGGAATAGACTGCCAAGAAAATCAGTGAGAAGGCCCTGATCTCATAAGGGAAACGGCACTTAGGCAGTGTTATTATTGCATTCAAATGTATTCTTAGGACTAACTCCTAAAGTTAGTCATGAGTAACCAAAGGAAGCAATAGTAAATGATCTCTACCTTCTCCAGCTTGTGTATCTACTATTTTCTGGGATTGGGTTAGACCTGCTATAGCCTCAATACCCAATACCTGCTACAGCCTCAATATCCATGTTGTAGATCATCTCTCTTCTCTGTCTCAATGCTTATTCATCAGTCTCCTTTTTGTCTTTCTTCTTACTTGCTACCCATGCTCCTTCCATTTTTTCCTTCTCTCCTGTATTTCACCCAAAAGCTGCTGCTGGTAGAAAATCTGTTGGCCCAGGCAAGCAATGATGGGTATGCCCCAATATAATTAGATGACTCCAATATTTTTGGAGCTCCATTGCTTACCAATGGGCTTCCCAATGTGATTCAAAGTGCCAGTCATCATGGCTTCAGTCCTGATTATTTGACATTCCTCTCCCATCCAACTAGATCTCAAAGATACAAATACAGGTCCCATCTGGTCAAGATTATAACCTGACAGACCTCAGAGGCAAGTTTTTATCCAAAGTTGCTGAATTTTAGCCTATTTCATCTGTCCTGTGATTTAGAAACTTGTAAAAAAATCCTTTTCAGTTGGCTGTAGGAAGTAGAAAGCTGCTTTATAATATGCATCAATCATGACTTATTTATATAGATTCTGTTTTTGCATGCATTTGGAAGGGTGTGTTTGTTAAATTGTTTAGTTAGCAACATAGAGCCTCTAAGAATGGCTGATGAAGGAGGGTAAATAAACAAATAAACAGACTACTATTTTACCTTGGCAATGTCAAGGACCATTTGCATCTAGATATTATGTTAGGAACCTAAAAGGAATGAATACTGCAGAGGTACAATGAAACAAGTTTTCTACCACATTTTAATGATAATCGAAGAACATTATTTAAATAATGGATTTGTTTATTTGAAAAGCAGTTTATACTTGCATTTAAAAGTATAAAAAACTGTTTGACAGAGATAACATTTTAAAAACTAGGGCTCTGAATCAAAACATGTAACTTCTTTTTGACTCCTGGTGACTTTTTGAATACAGCCAATGAAGAAATGTTTTGCTACCATCTTCTTATGGAATGTTGTTTTTTTCACTACCAATCTATTTATGCATTTATTTGCTAGATTCATATTCTGCTCTTTCTTCAGGAGGCAATTTATAAAGAATATCCTGTCATTTTATTCCTACAATTGCAGGTTTTGAGGAAGGTTAGAATGCAAGTAAGTAACTGACATAAAATGTTTAGAGTGTTCAGGATAGAACTGAATCTAGATTGCCCTGCTTCTAGTCCAACATCTTAAACACTACAACCAACTAGTACAAGCTGGCCTACAGAAGTGGCATTTCCTGCTCTCTCGTCTGTCAAAAAACAACCTTGTTTAGCTTTTTCAGTTCAGCTACAATGAATTAGAATTGCTATCTAGAGCTGGGCAAATTAAAAGAAGAGTAAAGAGCATATACAATATACTTGGCATTAAGTGCTGGAATATTCCACTTTAATATGTTGTTAGAGAAAGGTTTCTTCTGCATACTCCCAAGTAAGAGCTTTCTCCTGTTTAACTTTCTGGCATATGGCCAGGCAAACTCTATAAGCATCACATATAAATCAGGTGTTTAGTATATAATGTGACATTCTTCCTGGAGCAATTAAAATCACATTTCCAGATGTCAGAAGTCAGGTGAACAAGTTCAAGAAAACAAAAGAAACATCAAGTGCATTCAGAGAATTGACAGTCTTTGATCCACTTAAAGATGCATTCAGAGAAATACTTTGTAGGACTCCACAAACTTTTTCCTCTGTAAAATCTCATTTCCTAAAATATCGAGAGATAAAGAATATGTTGGGTAAAGATAGTTTAAGTATTAGAATAGGGTTGAGACTCTCTGACAAACAATCTTCTCACAGAGAACCTTAACTCCTTCTTGAGGATTTAATGAGATTTAAAATATTAGACCTGTCTATTTTTTGTGGCAGATTTGGCTGCAGATCCTAATCTGGTGTTCATTTCTAGCATCCCATCAAAGATTAAAATTTGTACTCAAGGCAATAATTATCTCTATGACATTGGAATAGTTATGAAAAGTGTAGAAACAGCTAAGTCTGAATTGAATAAAATAATAGAAATAAAAACTTTCACCTTGCTCTACCTATCACTAAAAGACTTGGCTCTAACACTGAAAAGATAAATTGATGGTCCCAATTAGAGAAGAATGAATGTTACAAAATATTTATGAATCAGTGTAGTTTTATATGCATATAGAAATGTAACCAAGAAAGACAGATTCCCTTTTCCCTTCCTTCTTTTTCTGCTCTCTTTAATTAAAAGCAAAAACAACAACATATTCAAACTCTTAACAAACCTTGTAAAATTAGAGGAAACTTATGGATCAGAAACAGATTTATAAAACAGTGATGAGCAAATAGAGTCATTTTAGTTTAGGGGTTAAGATACTGGCTAAAAACTGGGAGGTAAGTTACAGTTCTGCCTTAGGGAAGAGGCCAACTAGTTGGCCTCTCAGCTCTGGGAAGGAGGTAATTGAATTGAGAAGGTGGAAAAAGAGTTTGATTTTAAAACATATCAACTACTTGCTATAGGGAAGAGGACTATCTGTATAGGGAAGAAAATCCATGTCCTCCATGACATGGAAGGGTCTTCCTCTAAATGAGGCCACCTTAAACTTACTTTAGCATTAAAAATAGTAGGGCATTATATAGCACATGATACATTTAACATGTTTCTCCTCCTAAAGCAAGTTAAAATAGTTGAAACGTTAAAATAGTTAAAACGAAAATAGGAGCTTAGACTTCAGAGGAAGGTATTTTAAAAAGTCGGGGGGGGGGGGGGAGAGAATGAAGGAATAGGAAAGTCACAAAGGAACAGATGGATAAGTTAACAAACAATTTTCAGTAGAGATGATTCAAAGTGGCAGCAAGCAATTATTTTCTAGGGCTCCCCTCTTGCTCAACTATAGTCCACAATATTGGCATACAGACATCAGTTTAGTTATAGAAAGCCGTGTTCTTAAAGAAGAGTAAATCATAGCCTTGCACAAGTCTTCTTCCAAGATGTTATTGAGAGCACAGCTACATAATTGGAAATATTATATTCTTGGAGCAGCTATTCCCAGATTGCACAATTTAAGAGGATATTGGAATATTTCTTTGCCAACCTATCATTAAAAAAAAACCTATTCTGAAATAATTCCAACTAGGTTCCTTCCAGACATGTGTCCTAGATACAACAGCCAGGAATTCCTTGTTGTCATGGCCATTACGGTAGTTGGGAGTTCTGAGTCTTTCTAACTAACATATGCAGAGATGATGAGGATGTAATAATAATGCAGTTGGGAGTTTTACACTAAACCAAACTATGTTATATAGTTCTAAAATTAAAGAACTCATCAACATTATGTCTTTTCAGTACATGTAATTTGCAACCCAGGAAGGAACTACATCAAACTCCTTCTGTCACACTGTCCACTCCTGCTAGCAATTTGGTAGGTCACAAGACTTCTGTGCCCTTAAATTAAACCCTATCAAGATATTTATTACCCATAATTTGCCTAAATATCTAAGGTGGCCCCTCAGATTTTTATCTTGTAGTATTTCAAAAGCAAATTTGAAATTGAATTGGTAGCTAGTTAGAATAGCCATAACATCTCAAATAGGTAAATCAGTCACTGCAGTGATGAGTTACTAATTACAGAAAGTATGGACAATTCTTGTTTGATGCTGGAATTCTTCTTCCCTTCCCCAGAGACAATCCATAACCAGACTTATGAAGAATAATTGCATCTGAAAGTCCTCTACTACTTTAATCACCTTGTTTGGGAAAAAAACAAGATTTGTCATTCGCAAGAGCTTTCAATTAAAGAATTGGAATATCATATACTCACATTCAAAGGCTAAAAATCTAAAGAATCTTAAGTATGGTTTTAAGCTCTCAAAATGGAATTAATTCAGCTAAAGATTTTCCCATGTTTACAGAATACCTCAGAGAAAGCTTAGAAAGATAGACTTCCAGAAAAGAAATAGTGAACTGAAGATAGCTCCATAAAAAGTAGAACTAACAACCATGGCGGAATGAAGGATCAGCAAGTAGACCAGCTCTTTGTAATTCCCCTTTGAACAAGGACTTGAAATCACTCACAACTGCTCCCTATGAGGAGACAGCAAGACGGAGACAAGAGAATAACCATCTTGCTCAAACCATGATGAGTCCCTTTGAAAGGAACTTGGTTCACATAACTTCCTTTTCTAATCGCTTTCATAAATTGGTTAATTGCTTTTGACCTACCTATAATGAATCTTTGGATTGATAAGTCTAAAAATGCCTGGTGAATTTTCTTCAACCCTCAGTGAAAAAAAGTTTGAAACACCAGTTTAAGAGGTCAATGTGTTAATATATATATATTGAAATTTGGGAGTTTGTTTTGTTATGATGGAAAGATAGTGGAGTTCTAGATTTACTCTCTTGGACTGATGTGATTGCTCTTCAATTATAAACAATCTCTGTGCTGACATAATGGAAAGACTGATCAACATTATTTCATGTAGTTAAGGTTTATTGCTGTTTAATATTCGAGCTCTTTTATATGTATTATATCATGTATTTGTTTTGCTTTCTGTTTGCTTTTTCATTTTTTTACGCTATTGTTTTTTCCATTTTTGTATACTAAAGTAACAAACATCTGTTTAAAAATGGGATAACTAAAATCCAACATCATCTCATATAAAGCAATTATTTACAACTATGCATTAGTGGTGATATGGCTTGTGTTGAAATGCCTATATAAAACACTAATTCTTATGAATCTTGCAGTAGCAGCATCTAGTAACATGACATCATTAAAAATGTTCTTTTTTTATAGCCTTAACTGAAGTTGATGAGAAAAGGGAAAGAAACAACTGAATTTTGAATGTGAAGTTGAGTAGGACATAGTTGCTCCCATTCTGAAGACACAGACATTAATGAGAAGAACTGTATAGAACCCTTTTTGGAACTTAGCATCTTGATTATTTGACTGTCACCTTTCATGAGTTGGCCCTGCATTTCCCAAAATTTATTACCCTTAAACATTTGGAAGTGCCACATTCTAGAGGATTGTTCTGTAAAGGTGGTGTTTGCTTAGCAACCACAAGTGGGACTGGCAACTTGGTTGTTAAGCAAAGCAGTTGGTAAATGAAGCTGCAATTGTGCTTATGATCTTATTTCGGCTTTCCTTTACTTTGCAGACTTGATAAGGTCATAAATGCAAAGATTACAAATGATTGCTTAATAGCTTAGTAAGGCCTAAGCAAGTATAATTGCTTGCACTCTTCAAATCAAAAGAGAAAAAAAACCCCATAAAACAGTATAGACAAAATGAGGAGTAAATAGGATATATATGTAACCTAGTTTTCGATACAGAAGTGTAGTTCCTCAGCGCGGTATTTGGGTCATGTAGTTTTTGTTATTTTTTATACACAGCTTGCAATTAACACTAGTTTAAATGGACTTTGATCAAATCTGCAAGGCATTTACTCAGGTCATTTAGTTATCAGGATATGGCTAACTAGTGTTAGTTATTCCTTAATTACATCTCAAATGAGATTTCTAGTAAAAATAACCTAATTTTGGAATCTCACCACAAATAGAATAATATGATTAATATTTTGAGTGAAATTATCCCTAATAAAAGAGCTAATGTGCAATGATTGAAAAGACCTAGATCAAAAACACATATCAGACATCCTTGTTTGGAAGATTTGCAAAATTTTACTAGGGAGAAACACACATTACATTAGAACAGAGTATATGTAGCTCAGACTTGAACAATACAGTTCTGAGATAGATCATTATAATAGCATAAGTAACAACTTTAGCAGCCATATGCTTTACAAAGATCTCCCCACATCTTTCAGAAGGAAAGCAGAATTAGCAGTTCAAAGAGACATGGGATTATATTAATTTCCAAATCCACAATGTTTTCTATTGGGCAATATAATTACTTTCAATAGCTTTACCATATAAACACAATGTAAATATATACCAAGACTCACAAGTTTAAATCTCATTCCCTCAAGCACCAACAGTTTTTATCTTCTTGTAATAATTATCACTGGAGGCCAAACTGAATTTACTTAATTACAAATAAAAGCATCTCCCTGCCTCTAGGCAAATTCCAGCCTAATCTAACTCTAAAGATTAAAGCAGTTGACTGTGCTTGCAATTAACCTTGTAAACAATTCAAATGGAAACAAAAAGCACAGCCATATCTAAAAGGGAGGACACTCCTATATCAAAATCCTTGTAAACTAATTCATGGTATGGCCAGATAGTCTGCATCTGTAGAAAAGTAATCATTTTATTGCCCCAAGTGTGGAGTTAACTGCATAACTCTTGGCTTTGGCTTGCATTAGGCAGTTAATCCCAAACTCACAATAATACAATTCACACAGCATACTATAGCACTGTACCGTATATACTGAACACTGATTCAAGTTGTATATCAGGGGAAGTGCATTAGTTCATACTATAAGTAGAGAAATACAATTTGGAGTGCAGGAGTGGAAATGCCAAATTAATAGCTGTCTAAAGTCTAGCATTTTGCAAATCCATTCTACTTTGTGTGTAGTAGACCGATTTTAAAGAACTCAATAATTTTATTTTATGTTATCCTGATTCTAAACATGAAATTGTTTTAAAGTATCCTTATGTAGAAATAGCAGCCAAAAATAATGACCAGGAATAATGACCAGGTTTAAGTTGAAACACACAGACACAGACACAGACACACACACAGACACACACACACACACACATGCAATATAAGCAGTGGATTCATGGCCTTTGATACTGCAGCTTATGAATCAGGGTATTAAGACTCTCCTTGCTCACACTTCCCTAATTCAATAATTAAATTTGGAATCCGCCTTAGGCAGCCAGTTATCCTAGTTGCACTGAAGTCAGGAATATAAACTTTGCAGTTTCTATGAAGTGATGAACTCCTTATTCATTACTCGACTGATTATTATGCCTAGACATTTTTACACCTGAAAAGAAATGCAAATTTAAATTTTCACTAATTACAACATAGTCAATTCCAAAATAATGATTTTACAATCCATGGGAAATATTTCAAAAGCAAAACTATAGCTAAAACATTACACTGTGCTAACTCTTGTATTTCTAATAGTTGTAAGCTTCCCAGGTTTTTTTTTTTACCAATTATTCCCTTACCTACATATTGCATTTATGGCAATTTTTCAGCATGGAAATATTTAAAAACTAATCAACATCATTCTACCCCATCTATAGGATAAATGGAAATTTTCAATGAAATAAATGCTTTGGATGCTTTCTGTAAAATACTAACACTTCAATAAGTACTCTGCCTGAAAACCCCCAGCAGTCTATGTACTCATAGATGATAATTCAGGTGCAATGGTCACCATACCTTTAAACAGAGATGTGATGTCATATATTGCTTTTCTAAGGGCCTACAGCAATCTTATCCAAATTGTGTTTTTGAATTGTCTGAGATAATTCTTTTCTAATTCTCAATTAATGTTGCCCATGAAGGACCATTAAGTTTGAAATTGCTGAGGTAGATTTTTAATTGGTTTTATTCATATTGAAGTTTCTAACATGACTCTAAAGATACTTTCACAAGAAGTTTAAACCTGCATTTCATCTATTTTCTGAGGAGATTCCACCAAGTACAGAAGATTTCATTCATATTCAATTCAAAATAAATTTTCCTCCATCCTCTGGTCTTACATTACATTCACACCAATCAGCTGAGGAGGAAGTGAAAAACCATAACCATGCAGTATTATTATTATTTTTTATAAATCAGTTACTGAGGTTTGGGAATTATGCAAGACATCTGTACTTAAGTTTGGGCTGCTTTTTAAAGCATAAATGACATTGATGAAGTGCCTATCATATCCTCAAAAACATTACATGCAATAAATACTTTGAAATCCAGAACTGTCTACCAATTCTTTATGGACAACTACTTGCTTTGACCACAAAGCAAGGGGTCACTTTGGCGATTACAAACTTGTTTTATAAAAAATGTTGATAAACCAGTCCAGAGCTCATTTTTTTAATAAGCAACAGTAAGAAAGTCATCTAAGGCAACTGATTTGGGGCAACATCAAGCAGTTATTCAGTTCAGACTTCTTTAATAAAGCGACTGTAATCGAAATCAATCTGAAAGTAAGCATTATTAAGGTCAGTAGGGCATATTCCCAGATAGATGTGTATCAGACTGCTCCTAAAGTATCTGTACACAAGAAAAGATTTCTGATGAAGTCCCAGCACATCACAAGGAGGAGGAAGACATTTCTGCAAAGTCGAGATTTGGGAGACCACTTTTTCCAGGTGGCAGAAATCCTTGCTGTTGCAAACAATTCAATATTTCAGTGCTTCTTTCCCTGGTGCAAAAATGACCTGGCTTTAGGGATGCAACTATGCCCCTCCTGCTAGAGCAAACTGGGAGCTGAGATGGACTTATCCAGACCCAAGAAGGAAGAGCAGAAGCAGAATCCTGACTCCAACAGTTTTTGCAAAGTAGAGGGGATGCCGTTTCTGAGCGCTCCCCTAGGGAACAAGAAAGAAAGAAACCAGCCTACAAAGAGAAAAAAGGTTTTTTTGTTTTGTTTTACCGTTTCTCTCCTGTGCTAACTAACTTTCCTGCTGCAGGACGATGCCGTGATTGAATCTTCATCAGGAGAATAAGAAGAGACGCCCGCGCGCCTGCAGGTATCGGATCCTGCAGCCTGGAGTACACTATCCCGCCCAGCTGTTCATTTGCCGGCAGAGGGCTGATTTCTGAAACGCAAAGGCGGCAGCAGCCCAATCCGAAACCCGCATTTACCTTTTCAGATGCAGCAGGTGTATCTCGTCCCAGCTCTGCCGCCCGCCCTTGGTTTGAATAAGGGGTCGTAAGCCGCGACTCAGCCTCTTCCACAGAGCGCCCAAGCGGCCGTTGGCACCTGGCAAGGGCACCCCCATGGCTCTCTTCCCGCCCTCCTGGTTGGAAGCGCGCCTGCAGCAGCAGAAGCCGCCCCCCAGACAACAACCTGGCGCCAGAGCGTCTTGGGTTGCCCACTCGCTCAGACTAATGGCGCTTGTCCCGAGCTTCGATGGCGACTTTCCCGGGTAAAGAAAAAAGAAGCGGCGTGCGTGAGCGCGAAAGAGCGGTCCTAGCTAAGCGCGGCTTATTCCGCACGCGCGCTCCTCCTATTCCCTCTTGGCTTCAGGATTCTCTGCCCGAGCCACGCTTTTAGCCGCGATCCTGACCGAGAGAAATATAGGGACAGGCTCTGGAAGGAGGCGGGGCAAATCATGACGCGCACCTTCCCCCCCTCCTTCCCCAGAATGGCCCTGGGTCGCAGAGTTCCTCTGGTCAGTTGGCTCCTGGGGATCGCAAATGTCGCCTGGCCGCCCCCCTCGCAGGCCCTGAGGGACATTTAGTAACCGCAGCCAAGAACTTTCTCATTTTTCACAAACTGCACAATTGATGGGGTACTTATTTTCTCCAGCTGGTTCCAGAGTAAAAGGCTAGGCTGAATTGAGCTACAAAAATCCCAAGGACTACCAAAATTGTCTGTATTTGTTTAGGCTATCTAGGTTTTTTGCAGCGCAGATATAGATCCCTACTTGGGTGATCTTCAGCAATGGCACTTCTTTCCTCTGTGGGTCTAAATCTTTCTGGAAGACAAATAGGGGAAGAGGGTAAGGAAAGCCCCGCCTCCCAGAAAAATGAAATATTTGGGGGAATATTGAAAGAGGCAGGATATTATATTTTCCCGAAAGAGAAATGGAGAAGCATGTTCTTAAAGCCAGAAATAGTTGGTGCCCATGAAGAAAGACTGAGCCTGCCTATTCACAAACAAAACACCTTCACCTCCAGCGATAGGATTAAAATTTACATGCCTCCACCCTATTCTAAGAACAGGATGTGACCTTTAGGACATAATAGGAATAACCCACCCAGGTTAGAATAGCAAAAGACACCAGGCTCACTACATTGCAGCATTTCAGAAATTGTACAGTATAAAAATCCTTTCACTCATCAAGCTAATGTCAGCTGTCCCAGAACTGCATGCTGTGGTTCTGCTCTTCAGTAAACAGAATCCTTCTTTCCAATCAGCCTCCATTTTATTTTCAGCACCTTTCTCCCAGGTTGAAACTGGACCAGCTTTTTCTTCCTACAGGGGGGTAAAGAAAGAGAGAAAGACAATGTCTTGCAGGAAGAATCTACCTTGAGAAATGGGAGCCTAATTCCGTATGCAACAGCAAAGCTGATGGCTCCTTCCAAGAGCAACCACTACTTCAGCCCAATAATATGCTTACGTTTTTCTTCAGACTTTTGGACCCTCCAAAATATAATCCTCTCTGTGGGCTGAATTTATACATTTTTACAAAGAAGTTTTAGTCAAAAAAAGTAAGCACAGGTGAACAGCAAGGTAGATCCAGAAAAAAAGAAATATTTAACGAAGCAACTTCCAATTTTATTTGAAAAAGTTACATACACAATACTGTTTCTGCCCTCCTGAATTACATAATGTCCTTCAGTCCACTTCTCAAAGGGAGAGGATGGGTGAACAGCATGGCTGTCTTTTTGTAGTTTTCCTGCTTTTGCCTAATTAATTGCTTTTTGGTTACCAAGATGGCAGCGCACTCGGTTGCTGCGACTTCTGGTTTTGGACTTCCCTGAAGATAGACCGCTGAGTCCCCTTTTGTATTCACTCTACACCTACGACTGCACTCCCTCTTGTCCCACTAACTCTATAATAAAATTTGCAGATGACACCACGTTGGTGGGACTCATATCAGGAGGAGACAAGATGGCCTATAGGTCAGAGGTTCTCAGATTTGTCTTGTGGTGTAAGAGTCATAACCTCACCCTGAACGTCAAAAAGACCAAAGAATTTATTATAGACTTCAGAAGATGCAAAGCAGAGCCCCTCCCACTATATATCAATGGAGACTGTGTGGAAAGAGTTCATAGTTTTAAATTTCTAGGAACTCATATTTCCGACAACCTTACTTGGTCGGTCCACATTATGGCCACTACAAAGAAGGCCCAACAACACCTGCACTTTCTGAAGTTGCTGAAAAAGAGTGGTTTCGGTAAGAAGTTGCTGGTTACTTTTTACCAGTCTACCATTGAGAGCATTTTGGCATACTGTGTAACAGTGTGGTATGCTGGATGCTCTGCAGTGGATAAGAAGATGCTCCAGAGAATTATAAACACAGCACAAAAAATCATTGGTTGCTCTCTTTCTTCTTTGGAAGAGATTGCGAAGACCAGACTCCTCTCTAGCACACTAAAAATCTTCACAGACCTTTCTCATCCTGGACATTCATATTTTGATCTGTTACCATCAGGGACGCGTTATAGGTGTCTTAAAATGAGGACTAATAGATTGAGAAACAGTTTCTTTTCCAAGGCAGTAATGGTCTTGAATCAAACAGTGCATTTGTGATTTAGTCCTATTATTATTATTATTATAATTATTTTAATTTTTAAAACTCTGTAGTGTGATTGTGATGTGGTGTGTGGGGCACTGTGCTGGAGTAGCTTTCAAATTTCATTGTATTTGTGGAATACAATGACAATGAAAAATATTCTAAAAGGTATTCTATTCATCGCCTATTCTTTTTCAAGTTTGCATTGTAGAGTCTTATTTTCTCCAGATAGTTGAAGCTACAAAGGGCAAATATGAGTCACTGTCATAACACAGTTTATTATCTCAGTAATCTATGAATGGCAATAAAGCGTTTGCTTTCTTGCAGTTACTTGTTGAACCTGGCTCTTGGCTTCCTTAGAAACTTTAATTTATAATAATGTCTATGGAGTTTAGAAACTGGCATGTAAATTAAGCACATTGTATAGTACATGTTTGTGTCCTCAGGCTGTGCCCATACACTATATACACTTTTCGTTGATAGGTATGCAATTTATGATGGCTTGAAAGGTAGTCTCTAGATTAGTAATCTTTTGTCAGCATCTGACAAAAATGACAGAATGATTATTACACTGTGTAGTGTTGCTACACTGTCCCTGTCACTTTACAAAACATGGGCAAGCATTGCTGACCAACGCCACAATGAGTAGCAGAAGTTGGTATGTGGGTCTATCTGATGATGACTGTAGTATAGTGAAGACTGTGTCCTGTAGTATAACAAGAAGAATAAAAGATGACAAGTACAGATTAAATTAAACTGAAGAAAAAATTGGGTGAACTTTGTGAATCAAAGAGAAAATGAAAGGCTTTAATAGGACTGAAGAAAACTGGTCGGAATACACAAACTGGAAATTTGTAATTAGATTTTTACATCACTACCATCATGGACTATTGGCAGTATAATAAAAGAATAATCAGTAATCAAAATAATCATAAAAATTCAACAAAAATGTAAAACAAGCTAATATGTTTTTCAACTTGTTAAGCCCCCAAGAAAAAATTTACTTAGTTTGGAAATGCTAACAAGGTTGGAGCAAATCTGATTTACAGGAGAGCCATTCCATAATGTAAGGAAAGGCCTTAAAACTGAACTATTTGATGCACAGTTCTCTGGGCTGTTCCTGAAAACTATTCAGAAAGTTCAGATAGCGTAAAATGTAATGGCTCATATTTTTGCAGGTAAGAGCCATTTTACCAATGTTACAATGATACTGCAAATACTGTGGGTAGATATTGTGTGGGCTATAAGGAATGAGAGTGGTATAAACTAGGTCTCTCTCTCTCTCTCTGTCACACACACACACACACACACACACACTTAGTCTTCCTTATTCCTTTTCTCTGTTTTGTATAATATTGCATACAATATGTCAAAAGGGGAATATCAGGATGGGGACACAGACAAACACACACACACACAGGTGTTTTGCAAAGGTTTTTATTACTGTTTTACTTTACTCAAGGACTGAATCATTTTCTTTGGTGTGTACTATTTTTCTCCTTCCATCTAAAATAATATTAAACAGCACTTGAATACAAGAAATATAATTTATTTCTAATCTAGTAAATCCTTGTCATGAAGATTTTTGTTATCCTAAAGCAATTATCTGCATGTTGAGCGCTACCCTATATCAAAAGCCTCTTAGAAAAGAAACAGAAATTAGTGGGTTAGGCTACATTTTTTTCTGTTACAGATTTTTGCTTTTAGAAATAGTTTGTTTTATTTTCCATGTTGAAGAACATTCAAGATTGCTATTTCTCAACTGCAAAGCTTGAAGTTCTACAACTTCTAATATCTGCCATTTCTTAGAACTACACATGTGACTGGACTCCCGAATTCCTTCCAGCCTGATAGAACAAGTCTTTATAGCAGGCAGGTTTATTATATGGATATTCCAGCCATGGCTGAAAGGAATTAGAAGGACACTGAGACTATTGAACTTGCTTCTTAATAAATATGCCTAAAATATGCTATGAATTTGTCTGATTGTCTATCATCTCATCTACTCCTGCAACCCAGCCCAGGTATGCAGCACAGATTTTTCCCAGGCTATTACACCTGTCTTTCCCCCAAATAGCTGAGTTTTGCCTCTGAAATTTAGAGTGGAATATCCTTGTGGTTGGGACCTACCCTGTTTTGTCATACGATCATATGATCTGTCTACTGTAAACACATTCATTATCTTACAACTCAATTCACGTTTGTGCCTGTTCAGAAGTAGAATATTTAAGGTGCTTGTTTAAGTTGTTGGCAGAACACAAAATATCTTAGATCAGAGGAATTGGAATGTCATTAATTCATTCCATTCATTCATTCATTCATTCATTCAATTCATTCATTCATTCATTTTTACCTATTTCATCTCCACAATGTTCCAAAGCCATTTGTACAAAACTAAAAGAAGCCTTCAATGACCTGG